AAACCTCAAAAAGTGCACATGGAAGCTATATACCGAATCCTCAGGTACCTGAAAAATACACCCGGGAAAGGGTTATTCTGCACTAAGGGGAATAAAAAGCATGTGGAAATATATATAGATGGGAAAAGGGTGAACCCTGGTACAAAAGAAGACAACGACATTGAAGTATATACTGATGCTGATTGGGCAAGTGCAATTGATGATAGACGCTCTACTACGGGCTACTGTACTTTTGTGTGGGGCAACCTAGTAACATGGAGGAGTAAAAAACAACCTGTTGTATCTAGAAGCTCTGCAGAGGAAGAATATAGAGCTTTAGCTCTTGGAATCTGTGAAGGGATATGGGTTGTACGACTACTGCAGGAACTTGGGATAGAGACTACACCAATAAAAATGTGGTGTGATAGCATGGCTGCATTGAAAATCGCCAATAATCCTGTTCAGAATGACAGAACAAAGCATGTTGAGATTGATCGTCATTTTATTAAGGAAAAGATTAAGGCTAAGGTGATTGATTTGGCCTACATTCCTACTGGAAGACAAATTGCAGACATGATGACAAACCCACTGGTTCGGGCAAAGTTTGATGAACTCACAAGCAAGCTGGGAATGATCAATATCTACTCGCCAGCTTGAGGGGGAGTGTTGGAAGTGGGCCCAATTACAGCAAACCCTAGCTTAATTAGTAACTACCAGTAATTATATTATTAGTATCTACATAGTTTTAGGGATTTGTTAGATTTTTATCTGATTTATTATCCTATCATTACCCTAGATTAGATTTGATCAGATTCGGTCAAACCCTTTCTCCCCTCTATATGTATCGATCGGTTCCATGAAATAAAATAAGAGTTTAGCACCAAACTCTGTCATTTACACATAATGTCCCTAAACAGTATTGGGGAGAAGCTCTCCTTACTCCCGTTCCGTTCACTTGATCAACCGACTCCCATCCAAAAACCTTGGTTTCCAAACCCCAGTAAACCTTCTCACCAAAACCTATCCCTCTAACTCCCTTACCTGTGACCTTCCCCTGCGAGTATTTGGATGTGTAGCATATATTTATCACAACCATGGAAATAAACTTGACCCAAGAGCCCTAAAGTGCATCTTTTTAGGCCATTCTTTTACCCAACAGGGGTATAAATGCTACTCTCCATCCCTGCGTAAGTTCTTTGTCACTATGGATGTTCAATTTGATGAGACCTAAGCCTACTATCCAAAGTCTCCCATTCAGGGGGAGAATTTCAGAGAATGGGAGCTTTTACACCCACAACACACCCAACCTACCATACCTACCACTGCTGCCACACTAGAAACAGACACTCCCACACAAGAACCAGAAGTTCCTACACCTGACACACCCACAACAGAACCTGAAATGTCCCTAACAGAACCTCCTACACCTGTACCTGATCCTCAACAACATTCTGCGCCCCCAAAAACAGACTTTAACACTAGTTCTACTCCACCCGAAACCAACCTGAATACACTTAACCCTAGCATGATGCCTAATAAGGAGAATGAGGCAAACAATAGAGGCTCTTCGGGTTCTGGACAAAGCCAAGAATCAACCCAACATGATGATCTTGGATGGCCCATGGCACTTAGAAAAGGGGTAAGGAAGTGTACTCAACACCCAATCAGCCATTTTGTATCCTATAATAAGCTATCACCATGCATAAGGAATTTTGTTAATAGCATTGACAGGGACCCAATTCGCAGAACTTTTGATGAAGCTACTGGGGATCCTAGGTGGAAGATAGCTATAGATGAGGAGCTACAAGCACTTGATAAAAATTAGACTTGGAAGATTGTCAGCCTCCCACATCGAAAGAAGACAGTAGGGTGCAAATGGGTCTTCACTAGTAAATATAACCCAGATGGGTCTATAAGCAAGTTTAAAGCACGACTAGTGGCTAAAGGTTTTTCTCAAACAGAGGGGATTGATTATCAAGAAACATTTGCACCAGTGGCGAAACTAAACACTATAAGGATACTGTTGCCCTAGCAGCCAACCTTGATTGGCCCCTTCACCAACTTGATGTCAAGAATGCTTTCCTAAATGGGAATCTCGTGGAAGAAGGGTATATGAGAGTTCCTGAAGGACTAGCAGAACATGGAAACCTAAAAGCTACATGCAGACTGTATAAATCCCTTTACGGTCTCAAACAGTCTCCAAGGGCATGGTTCGAAAGATTCACCAAGGTAGTGAAGGAATCTGATTATATGCAGTGCCAGTCAGATCATACATTATTTGTCCAACATTTAGAAAGAAAGGTGTCTATCCTAATTTTGTATGTAGATGACGTTGTTATAACCGAAAATGACAGCAAAGAAATAGCAAGATTAATAAAGAAGACTTCGACAGCAGAATTTGAGGTGAAAGACTTAGGGAGTCTAAGGTATTTTCTGGGAATGGAGATTGCCATATCAAACAAAGGGATCTCAGTGTCACAAAGAAAGTACACGCTAGACCTACTTACAGAAACTAGCATGTTGGGAGCTAAAACATCATCAACACCTATGGATCCCTCCGTCAACCTCGAATACAAAAAAGATGGTGTACCAGTTGATGCAGAAAGGTACAAACGATTGGTAGGAAAACTTATCTACCTATCACAAACAAGACCAGATGTTAACTACGCAGTGGGAGCGGTTAGTCAATTCTCTTCACAACCACAAGAACAATACAATACATGGAAGCAACATATACTATCCTTAGATACTTAAAAATGACACCTGGAAGAGAGGATTTCTTCAAAAAGGGGGAGTCAAAAGACATAATATTATATACAGATGCAGACCATGGAAGATCCCTTTTTGATAGAAGGTCAACAGGGGGTACTTTACATTTGTTTGGGGTAATTTGGTAACTTGGAGGAACAAAAAGCAAACTGTGGTTTCTAGAAGCAATGCAGAAGCTGAGTTAAGGGCACTAGCTAATGGTGTTTGTGAAGGAATGTGGAGAAATCAGAATCAGTGTTAATACATCGATTAAGTTATGGTGTGATAGCATGTCAGCACTACAAATGGTTCATAACCCTGTGCATCACAATAGAACATTGATCGGCATTTTGTAAAGGAGAAGATTGAATCAAAAATCATTGACCTATCTCATATAAATTCTGGGTCACAGGTTGCTGATGTCCTTACAAAGCCACTAGATCGAGGCAAGTTCGAAAAGTTTAGAAACAAGCTGGGAATGTTTGATATCTACATTCTAGCTTGAGGGGGAGTGTTGGCTATTCGGTCTCTATTGGGCCATGGGCTGTGCAGATGTGCAAATCTGTGTGATTCTTTCTTTTAAATTTCTGTTAATTAGAGAGATCATGATTCCTTCCCTGCTATATCTTAGGATTTGATTTAGACTCCTAGAATCTCAGCCTAATCCTAGTATCGCCTAATCCCTAAAATCTCGGCCTAACCACCTCATCCATGGAGGGAATTGTATCTATTTAAGTCTGCTATTCTATTCGAATAATAAACAACTTCAGAATCATTAGATTCTTCAAGGGCTTTTTCCCTTCCCTCATTGTTTGGTTACTGTTTCTTCATATATTTTTCCATGTTTGACATTCTAGAAGAGTGTTTAAGTGGAAACCAAACCATGATTTTAAAATTGTTTTATGGTATTCGAAACAAGTATGTGAGAGAACTTGTCTCGACTAGCGTGAAAGCACTTTTTAAAAGTGCTTTGGAGGAAACCAAACACCCCCGCAATCTAAAAGTACTCCTTTTCCTTCACATAACATTCAGCTAGATGGGATGAAAATTATAGATTTCAATAGATAAAAGAAGGGAAAGGTACTTTTAACTTAAGGAGTAAATCATATAAATGCAATTTTAAACTTTCCTAGTGCTTCAATATCATGCATTGATCTTTAGATTAAAAAATATGGAGCCCCCTTTGATCGCAACTTGATGAAATTAGAGAACCCTCACATTGATATTGAATCATCAATCATCATTGATATTGAATCATCAATCATCATTGATATTGAGAAGGGCAAGACAGACATGAGAATCAACCTTTGGTAAACACCTAATGTCCCAAATTACCAATATGGCTCCATATCATTGATAAGAAATAAAATACTTCTAGTCTCTAAAGTCTAGACCCAAGTTCCCGAAGACTCCTAGTCAAAAAACAACAAATATTAAATTCTTAAGTTCCCCACTAGATTATAATTTAAATTCTACATAAAATAAATCAGTATTATAATGAAAGTTATCCACATAGAAAGAACAGTATATCCAAGAGAAACATTGGGATAGTAGAAATCTTATACCACAAAGGTACTTGCAATTTGGATGCACAAATGTTTTCAACCTCACCAGTCAATCTTACATGCTTTCCGTATTCTAGTTTTGATGACTGAAACATCTTGAATGCACATAAAAAGACACCAACAAGCATGAACTCTAGAGCTTGCATGACAACATATCAAGAACCTAAAAGTACCCACTTCAAACCCTGAAATGCATTGGGCATCCAACTTCAAATTAACTACTTGGATATTCAATAAAACAAAGATGGCCTGGCAAACTTAACAGCAAGGAATCGAATTGAGATGCAGAAATGCATAATTTAATTTGTCTTTTGAATTTTGCTTCTGCTTTATTCTGGTGAGTTGCGCTAACAAACCAAGTACAAAGCACAATAAATCTTTGAATCTGAAAGGATTCCTTGCACACTCAATATTTACAGCGTCTGTCATGAATCTACAAATAATAAGGTCTTTTTTTCTAATGCTTCTTCTTGCTAAATTCCAGATGAAATTTGTACTAAAGAGGGTATCATAGGTTTTTGTGAATGGTCTGGCATTCTGTGTGACCAGAATTATCTTGTAATGCAATGTAATTAATTTGAATATTTAATACATAAAGCAAATCCAGTAGTGAATTTTCTTCTTTGGTACTTCGCACCATATTCATATTATGGCACAATCCGCTTGAGAGTAAATTCATTACACAGTACAGCCATAATGTGAACTTACAGCTTTGTGAATATGCATATCTGATTCCTGGGCATCGCTCCCCGTTGAATACCATCCTAGTATGTAGAAGTGGGGGAAAACCTTCTTGTCTGTTTAACCGAAGAAAAAGCAAGTCAAAAAATAAGCAAACCACAAGAGTAAAAAGGGAAGAGAAAAATGACCTATTAGAGTAAAGAATTCGCAGAAGTAGCCCAAATCAAATCCTAGAACCAAGCTTCAACGGAGAAAGTTCGAATTAGTGATTATCAAGGGGAAAGGTAAATACTTAACAGAGTTCTAGCTTCTTCTCAAGAAAAGAACGATCGAGGGAATGGGTAATAGGGTCATAAAGAAGTTCGAAGCTATTGAAGATCTCCACGGTACGTCCTCTCTGTACTCCTATCACGCATCCGTATACCCTAGGAGGCAAGGAAACCATTCCGTCCGCAGCATTACTGTTAGCAGAGGCGGTGCTTCTCTGATGGGATGCAATGGGCGGGTTCATCTGTGACTTAACCCGAGTATAATGATCCGATATGTTAACTATCACCAAGGGATGTAGCTTGAATGTCAATCCACTGCTCGACGATGACGCCATAATCTGAAAAACACCCCAAAATTGTTGAAGGAAAAAAAAGTTTTAACGAATTAGGGTTCTAGGGAGTACGTCATGAGTACTACGGTTTTCGGCTTCTGAATTTTCTCCCCTCTTTCCCAGTGAAGTAGCAGTATCAAAGTATACTTCTCCTCGCCGGTGCTTATTTTTGGCCTCAAACGTCGTAAGATCAGCGCCCCTGGACAGGAACCGAAACCTAAGAAAGTGATCGAGCAGGCTGGCCTGATCAGGGCTATTTGGATGAAATAAAAACTGCTGGGACGATTAACCGAATTGCGTTGATAAAAAATAACTAAAATTAGCATAAGAATTAATGTGTAAAAAGTATATTTTTTTTTTACAAATACCCTCATTAATAAGGAGAGAGAATGAGAAAGAATAATTAAATTATTAAAAGAAAGAGAAGTGGGAGAGAGAAAGAGTGTGAGTTAGAAACAATAAATATGGGTAAAATAAGAAATCAACACAAAAAAATAAAGACAACTTTTAAGTGTCTCTTACATATAAGAACATGCCATAAGTATCAAATGTCTCTTATAATAAGGAACAGAGGGAGTATAGTTTAATAGTTTTAAAAATGTTTTTATAATATATAAAGTAAATATATGAAGGAGTTTATCTCTATTTGTAAAAAGTATTTCTAAGAAGTATTTTTTAGAAAAAATTCTAATTAAATCCATTTGAAATAGCAAATTCTAATTTAAGCCTACATTTTTAACAAATTCTTAATTAGGCCAAAAAATCTAATTGGAGATTTCTAAATGTTGCTAAAAGACCAAATTGCCCTTCATAATTAAAAGCCTAATTTTAGTTTTAATTTTTTTAATTGAATTTAACTAACATGTTTTTTCTTTAAACATTATCACATGAAAATTTGGCCAAAAACAGTATCATATAAAAAACAAAAAAAGAAAAATCACGATTATGGCCAATAAAAAATAATTGAAAATTCAAGATAAAAAAATACATAATTTCTAGATATCTATAGAATTGTAAAAATATGGGAACTAATAAAAATTTTACGATTTCAAATGTAAAAGATTAACAATATCAAAGATTTTGTTTTTTTGTGCGAGAAAAAATCAAATCAAAGATTCATAGAATTCTTGAATATCTATCAAAATTAATTTTACTATTTCACAACTTACATTGAGATTCATCAATTCATTTTCAATTTTCCAGTCTCTAAGATTTATTCAATATCAAATTTTTATTATATAAAAAAAAACTAAAAGGCCATAAATTCTAGAGTTGACATAACGTTCACAATTACAAAACACACCTTTGACATAAAATCTAAGAAAGACCACGTCCTCATTAGTAAATTTACTAGAATAATTAAAACTAAAATCAGATTTACACCTACATTCAATTTTCTTTTTTGATTACAAAGAGGCATTCCGGTCCTTCAGCAACATTTGAAAATCCACCAACGAGCAGTTGGTCGAGCTGGTAAGTGGGCTCGCCCCCCGTAAGGATGAAAACGTGTGTTCGAATCCCGGGAAGCGCTCTCGTTGGGAGAGGGGCTAACCCCGCCTGTGTGGGCGGCACTCTCCCCCTCGAGTCCGGATTAATCAATTGCCAAAGGCGTCGGATTACCGGGCGGTGTATAACCAAAAAAAAAAAACATTTGAAAATCCCTAATTAGGCCTCTTAGCCTAATTAGGAATTCGTTAAAAGTATAGGCTTTGATTGGAATTTCATTATTTCAGATGGATTTAATTGGGATTTTTCCTACTTTTTCTTATGCCCAAGCATCCCCTCAGTTAACAATCATCAAATCATTGTTTACATAAACTAGAATGGAATCATTGAACTGTGAGACAGACAGGAGCAGCACTTTTATTTTTCGTTTCTAAAAGGGACTGACCGACTCGGTTTTGAGAAGGGAAGTAACTCGGGTTTAAAATTTTTTACTCCTAAATTAGGGTTCAAACTGATCCCAAAAGTGTTTTGATGAAAAACAAACCATAATTTTAAAAGTACTTTTACAGTATTCAAAATATGTGACGGAATTTGACTTGTTTTAAGAAAAAGTGCTTTTTAAAAGCATTTTTTACTTATTACCAAATACCCCCTTCATCTTGATAGTATTTGTAATTGTTATATTGGGCCCGTTTGGCACTGCTTATAAATAGCTTATAAGCTGCATTTCAATAGTGATTTACGGAATACGAGACAAGTATATGAAAGGAGTTTTGTCTCAATTTACGTAAAACGTGCTTATAGGGGATTTTCACCGCTTTGACAAACTGGGCCACCATCTCCACTCGTTAATATAAGAGTTAGCTGACTAATTTGAGTAGATTAAGAAATTAGTTAAATTAGTTATTTTTAATAAATATGTGTTGTTTTTCCTAAAATATCTTTACCAGTCAAACATATTGGTTAGAATTACTATTATTAAAAGAACTATCTTGAAAAAAATAGATATATATATATATGAAAGACAAAATAGATTAGGATCTTATATTTAGGAGCAAAATAAAATTCAAACGAGCTATTATATTAAAAATCGGAGGTAGTATTATTTTACCATTTTTTGAAGCTTTTTAAAAAATTTAAGTATTATTTTGTGAATTAGAGGAAAATGAAGGTGATACTGAATGGATAAAAAATCAAATGATTTGGATTTAAAAAATTGAGAAAGGGAGGTCAAAACCTTCTAATTTATTTTCTTACTCTTTTATCTTAGTGTTTGTTTTATTACAATTTTACCTCATTTTTCTAATTTTTTAAATCAAATTCATTAAAACAATTTTCCATCCGCTTAAGAGTGTTCAATTGTGTCTCATCTCGATCTAAGTCATTTCAATGGGATAGGACAAAAATGTCTCATAACGAAACACAAGATGGGAGTGTCTCATCCCAATCTCGTCCTGGTATATTATATTTTTATTTTATAAATTTATTTTACTTATTATAATAATATATAAAATATATTCCTTTGGTTCTTAATGTAAAACCTAATTAATTAATTTGAATATATTAAGGATATTAGTCAAATTAGTTAATGTGATATATTTTGTCTAAATTGCCCTAACATCTTTTTAATTCCCTTCCTCTCTTTCCTACTTGATTATTGCTAAGAAATATCAGTAGGATTAATTTAGAAAAAAATTAATAATTATATAAAATAGGTCTTATATCTAATTAGGATCAACATTAACTCTCCAATGAAATATCTTACCAGTATAATTTATCATTATAATAATATATAATTTTTTATTGTTATGTTGTTTACAATTTACAAACTTTTTTATGGATTATATGATATAATGCTTTTTAGTGGATATTTTGAGGTTATATATTGTGTCTTTTAAAAAGAAACTTTTTCTTTGCCAATTTTTTATGACTGCCCATTTTTAACTAATTTTTATTTATTTTCTTTATATAGTTTTTATTAGGAGTGTGCATGGGTAGAGTTGGGCAGAGCAGGACTCATGCCCAATGTCCAGCCTGAAAGATGAGTAGGCTACAAAATGCAGCCCGCAACACAGCCCTGCCTAGTAGAAGCCCTAGTTATTTTGGGCTGGGCTATTGTGGGCTAGGCAGGGTAAGTTTTTCTTGCCCAAATTTACAATTTGAGTCATGAAACTGCTATATATCTTAAGTCTTAACAGATATCCATGCTTTAAGAATTTAACAATATCCATAATTGAAAAAATAAAAACAAGACAATAAAAAAATTGTAATTAAAACCTTAAAGTCCAAATGATTTGCATCAACCTTCACAAAGTTGAGAAAATAACAAAACATATAAAAAAAATACAAGCTATATTAACATTTTCAATCATATTATTAACTTATAGTTTAATATAATTTATAAAGATCTATATATTACATTCAAATTGGTATAACTAGTATCACTTTATGACATATGAAGTAATATCAACATGAAAAAGTTTAAAAGACAATTACAATACACAGCAAGATAATTTAGAAAAGTTAAAAAAGGTGGTATATTTTAAAAAAAAAACTAGAACTTTAAAAATGTAAAGTCTAATAATATAAAAGAGCAATGTTCCTTTTGAATATTGAAGTATAATAAAATATAGTATACTAATATTACACTATATATATATATATTATAATTTCAAAAAAATATATATTATAATATAAATAATTATACATATTTCGGGTAGGGCCAAATGGACAGGGCTGCATGCTGTGCCTGCAGCCCGGCCCAGCCTACCCATGATTGGCCCAGCCCGAAAATGTCTATTTTTTCCTCGAGCTATATTTTTTGAACTAGGTAGGGCATTTTTTTTGTGTGGGCTCAGACGGGTATACCCCTGCTATTGGGCCTCATGAACACCCCTAGTTTTTATCATGAACTCTTATGCTTCAAGTATGTTTGCTTTTAAAATAAAAAAGTTAAAAAATCAAAACAAAAAAGACAAGACATCTCTCTCATCCTAATTTTATTGCATCCTAAATAAGACGAGACAATATTATAATAGGATAGGAGAAGAGACGAAAAGGTCATTGAGATGGGACCTGAATGAGGTTGTCCTTATCCTGTCCCATCACATGAGCACAACTTTTCACTTGTAGAGAAACCTTCCTATCATTAAACTACAAATCTATTAACATTTGATTAAATTTTCACTTGAATAGATTGTGCCTTTAGTGGTAACAGAGGTGAACTCATGAATTATATGTTGATTTTTTTTATAAGGATCAAAATGCATTAAAATCTTAGAGATAACAAGATAAAGTCACAATACATAAGAATAATGAACAAGAGTTCAGCGAAATAAGATCTTTCAATTCTATTCTATGTACTAATTTAAAATAGCAAAAAAAGCGTAAAAGAGGAAGAAATATCTTGATGCAAAATGTTGGCCTAAAGCTTATTGGCACTATATCTTAGAATGAATTACTACTTGACACAGTAAACTTAGTGTTGCAATTCTGCATTAGAGAAGAAAGGAGAATTCCTGATCCAATGTAAGTTAGATGAACTACTGGTTGATGTGAGTTAAAAATAAAATTGACTTGTCTCTTGTGTTGGTGAGTTAAAAATAAAATTAACTTTAACCCAAGTTATTAACTTATATAAGTATAAATTAAGATCCGTTTTTGAATATCATGGAACACCTCTTTTTCTTAAGAATGAACTAAAGGATTATTTTTTTGGAGTACAAGGAATATCTCATTCCAAATTAAAACATAAGAGCGCTCCCAAT